GGCATTCTATGTGAACACTGTCGCCTGTAATAACTTTAATGGTATCACCTCTCCTCTCTAGCATGATTTACGCTCCGTTTTTATCTATTGGCTCGTTGTATATTGCGCAACGGCGCCTAGGTTGATCCATCTCCTATAGTACTAAAATGCAAAACCAAAAACGATTTTCAAAGTCGTGCACTTTTTGTTTTGGTCCGGTATCCTTACAATATGATGAGCTGAAATTCGAATTCATCCTATTACTCTAGCGCGCACTTTTGAAAAATAGCAAAATCTTTAATTTGTATGTACTCACAGTCTATTGCCATATTATTACTCTAACAATACAAAATAACCCAACGGAATAGAGAAACAACAATTTCCACTGTAGAGCATCGCATTACATTTTGACGCGAAAAGTGAGCTATTATTGCAAATATGAGTATTTCACACGTCCTATATTCTATCGCATTACATTTTGACGCGAAAAGTGAGCTATTATTGCAAATATGGGTATTTCACACGTCCTATATTCTATCGCATTACATTTTGACGCGAAAAGTGAGCTATTATGCAAATGACAAAGTGTATCCCGCCCTATATTGTTTAGAAAATGAATTAAATTGATTGTTTCTCGTCTACAAAGAATATAAAAGCTTACCTTGGACAATGATCACATATCCCAGATTTGTATAAGCATAAACTTTGTAAAAACTGGAAACATCCCTTCAAAATCTTAACCAACCCAAGCCAGCAACATTTAGTGCTCAAAATTAAAAGATCAGCACTTTAAGTTTTTTTTCGGATAAAATCTATTTGTTTACACCGCTATGTTAATTTTGCGAACTATGCAAATTACAAGGTAGATTTTCAATTTTTTTATCAAAATAACTTCAGAATCAGTTTTAAAGTACTTTTCTTCGATCTTTTGTGATTTTTCTATTTTCTTTTCTATTTCAGATTGGCTTTAAAAAGTCTTGTGGTGTTATAATTCAACGTTTTTAAATGTTAAAATTCGCCAGCCTCGTTTCCATGTAGCAAACTTACATGCCTCTAAATAATCCTGATTTTSGGAATGTTGCCGGGGTAGGATTTCGTGGGACTTTTGATATGTTATAAAGAGATATCCAAACGACCAAAATCAATTGAAATTTCTTTTGTGTAGGAATTAGTTCCAGGTTAGGCCGTTTTTTATCGTAGATTGCCTGGACTATAATTGCTTTTAATCTGAGTGCTCTAACAAATAGTTTGATATTGTTTCATAAAAAAACAATTATTCTTTCCTTTGGGGAGGACCAGGATGGTAATAGAGGACGGTTGACCATTTACTAATGGTTAAGTGAATATTGATATGAGAATTGTCTTTTGGGAATTAATGAGTGTTCATTTAATGGATTGTGACCAATAAACAGAAGGCTTTTGAACAGAGATTTGACTGCACAGTTAAATCTTTTGAATAGCTAAAGGACAAATTTGTAGTAAAATGTTTATATAATAATAATGATAATAATAATAAATAGTATTTATATAGCGCAAAATATCCACCAGGTTCTGATGCGCTTTACAGAATTGAATATAGAAAAATTCAATACTATTATAAAAATTTATGGAAAAAGATATGAAGATATAATAAAAAGATATATAAAAAAATGTTTATTTGAAAAAGAATTTAAATATGTTTAATTATGAATATAKACTTTTTTTTTGCATAATACACAAATACAGTAATAATAATGATTTCATMTTCAAACTTCAAAAATTATTTAATTGAAAATGCTTTCTTAAAAAGCCAAGTTTTAATTTCTKTTTTAAAAATACAAATTGATTTTGCTTCACGGACATTCTCAGGAATATATCATGTTTTCACGTCAATCACATGAGAGTAATGATTACAATAGAGTTAAAGTGGGCACATTGAAGTGCATTACTTCAAGCATACAAAAATTCAGAATATTATAATTGTGAATTTGTGATTTTTGAACACAGAGGCTTCCCTTTGCTATTTGACTGTTATAGCAAGATTTGCCTTGTAGTCCTATCTGACATCAAACATTTTATAAGTTTCTCTTTCATATTTATAAAATTTTGAGTTATCTTAGATTTTGTCCCATGTATTTGATCTTAATTACTAAAAAGCAAGGTTTTAGGATCTCTGAAAATCACTAACTTTTATTTGATATTTTAAAACAGTTTATACATCAATAATGTACTGTGGAATGAATTAGAAATATTTTAATGGAGRAATACAGTTTTTGTATCTTGTGGATGTGGTTGATAGAATGAATCACATGCAACAGGTGATAGTAAACAATAGAATTAAAATTCACACTTACAAAGCCAAGCCATTGGAATCTTTCAGTATATAAAATCACTGTGTCTTGACTTGGTTTGGAATATAGTATCAACTAGGGAATTTATTAGTAAACATCAAACAAGARTGATAGTTTGTTCATGGGATAATTCATCATGATCTCCACAGGTCAGTTTTTCTGTTTGATTTTATATCTAAATATACATGATATTTCAATCTAATTTAGAATATGCAATGCCAATTACTGAAAAACAAGGAGTTTTAAAAAAGACAACATCTAGTTTTTTTTAACATGATTGAGTTTATGTTTATTTTAGTAGAGCTAACAATCATTTGAATCCTTGAGGAAAATTAGTGCTTTTTTATTTAGACAATATTAGTAAAGCGTTCTATTAAATTGTCTTCTCTACAATTTTGATCTATGAAAAAATAATATATAGCTCTAAGGCATTATTATATAGTACATGGCATTTGAGATGTGAATGCCTTAGGGTGGATTTTGTATGACTGTGTTACGGCATGGATCACAACACGAACACGGCACAACACCGTCACAGAACCTCGCCTTCTAGAATTCCAAATTTAACAATACATCACGTTATTGTTGATTCTCTAATATGACAGACACCACCCTTAACCTAAATACAGGGGCACATAAAAAAATTGATCGCAGGAAGCAACTAGTGCTGCTCACTAGTCTTAGTTAAAAAATTAAAAAATATTTATATTTAATATTTTGTTATAATTTTGATGCATTTCAAKATAACAAAAGTTATAWTATGACTGATTCATTGATTATAAAYGTCTCTATTTGGGAATGGCTGTGATAAATGGACAACTCTAATGTTGACTGACTTCTCTWATAGCAAGTTTTGRTCAGTCAATAATCGTACAGACCATATAAAAAAACACCTTCGATTTAAGGGTCCTGACTTCTTAGAGGRCTTTTCGTATGACTGTGAACGTTGCAGTGCTGTGACCATGTCGTAATTCATATAGAAAGGTTCAAAGTTTCTGCCGTGACCRTGCCATGCTTTCTATAAAACATTGATCGGAAAAACTGCTGTGTTTGATGGTCCCAGTAAAAGTTTCACTTACGYCGTGCCGTTTTGCAAAATCTGTTCTAAGAAAAAATCGATCACRAGAAAGATATACTTAGTAGACAATTTATCGCAGAATACGAATACAAAAAGAATAGTACATAATATCTCAAGCTTGTTTTCGAGATAACTAATTTTGAATGGGACCATGTTGTGACATTTTCCAACAAACAATTGCAAAAAATTCGTTTTTCTTGGAAAACTCATGACTCATGTCTTATTGAAGATATACTGATTTTAACAAAAATCTATCCTGGAATCCAACTCAAAATCCAATTTGGGGCTTAGTTTATCTCAAAAAATCGTTATTTATCAAAAGAAGCTAGACATCTATACTTCCAAAGGATATTAAGTAATAAAATATTAAGCACTTAATTAAAAATAAATATTTCTAGACTCTGTTTCAGCAATTAATTTGAATTTTTAATTGAAGTCAGTCAAACAAACCCATTTTTATCCRAGCAGTAATTGATTYCTGTAATTTGTGATTCRTACGAGATTTCAGAATGTATACCATATATGACTTAGCCCAAAAATGTTTTAAGGATGTCTCCCTAAACTTCATTTTTTGGATTTGCAGATGGCCGAAATCCGTCAACTTCTAAACATTATTGAACAACTAGAGCGTAAACTTGGATTAGACTCAGGGCACATCAACAAATTAAGGATGGAAAAAGAAAGCTTGTATGATGAATTGAGACAAAAAACTAGCACGTTTGATGCATGGGACAGCATGATGTCTACTTCAAAGTGTGATCATGATGGAAGCTCGGTATGTAMTTATGTTTTTATTTATTGATTGTAACTTATTAATGATTAAATTWAGCTCTGAGCATTTTGATATTGTTGAGATTTCATTATCACCTTTTTTTACAATATGGTAGTATTTAAGTTAAAATCATAAATCATACCTAGAGTGATCATGTGCAATATACTTCGTGGAACGTACTGTGTCCAGGCTAYGCTAATATATATTTTTACCAGTGCCGCAATCAATTTGATAGATATTGCCTAGGATCTTTTCACATCATTTTTTTGAATATTTTTATCATTGCAGCGAAAATTTAAAATTCAGATTGCATTTGCATTATCCCCAGAGAATTTATAAGATGAAAGTTTACTTTGCATAAAATGTTTTTAGAATTAAGAAAAAAAGAACAAGTATATTTTAAAGTTAAAAAATGAAAGAAAAAAATTGTTTAGAAGCTGCTCGAGTCGAGAATCGAAGCCGAGATCTCCAGTTCAACGCTGCTATTCAAGTATGATCTTGCATGTAAAATATGTAAAACAAATATCTACAGGAAAAATAAGAATAAGTATTTCAGTAAAAAAAGAAGGAAAGAAAGAAGAATCACTTAAGGCTGATTTGCATGGCACGATTGTCTCGTGCGATTTGTAGTATACGACTTGAATCGCGCAGTGTAAATGCCCCTATGACTTGTCTACAACAGTCGTACGTAACCTACGACTTGTGGTAGGATTTTGAACAAWGGCTTAAAATCCTACGACTTATAGTGAGAAAATCGTATACTACAAGTCGCGCGCGACAAATMATACCGTGTAAATCAGCCTTTAGAAGTGTTTGAGTCAATCTGTGTGATCCTAAGTTCGATGCTATTCAAGTATAATATTCTGTGTAAAATCAAAATAATGGCTCGAAAATAGTTATTTAACAAAATCTACAGAAAATCAAGATGCCTATAACTACTATATTACCGTATTTACCCATGTATAAGCCRCACTTTTTTTCCAAAAAAAATCGTTCCCAAATCGGGGATGCGGCTTATCTAMGAGAAGACTTGTAAAAATGYYAGTTAAAAACTAATTTGCATAAATTAGCATTCACGGTGCTACTTACTGCAGACAGGACATCAGTGCAGTTATGTGAAAAGTTTGTTTTACACGCCGGGAACAGAAATTTTAATCTAAACTTCTCAGTATTACTRTAAATTCTTCGGAAATCTAGCTCTGAGAAACATAAGTCAATAAATKAAACTGAAAAGTGTGTGGTTATTGAGCCAATGAACAGAGAGCATTTTCATTCATTTTGTCTTGGAGTTKTTTTGGTAACGCGATGCTAATTTAAGCGACTTTGTCACACTTTAAGTGAAGAATCCAGGGTAAATATTTTGAATACCCAAGAAATAAGCCTAAGAAATTGTTCCTTATATTAAACAAATACAATCTGCTTATTAATATTTTTTTTTGAAATACGACAGTTTCGGCATGATCCTTATGTTTACAAGTTTGGCGGCACGATGAGATTTATATCACTCAAGTTGATTACTAATTTGTTTTTACCTTTTGAATGAAAAACAACTCTTTAAATATAGTATCAATTACTAGTATGATTTATGTCTCCAAGATATTGCATATGAAATGCATGAATCATGGAAATCAAGCAGYGGAAAAGCACTTTAAAATCAAAGAAAGCTGTGTTCGCAAGTCGTGATCAAAAAGAGAAAAGTTTATTTTCCATGCTTTTTTTTCCCTCAAAAACGTTCCTAAAACTCGGGTGCGGCTTATCTACGAGAGCGGCTTATACATGGGTAAATACGGTATATTCAAAATGAAAGAAAGAAAGAAAAAATGTGCTGGAGATGAGATTTGAACCCGCAATCCTCTGTTCGATGCCGCTACTCAAGTATCATCTTGTTTCTAAAATGTAACAAAAGCGGCTTGTAAATATTTAATAAAACAAGTTGCTAGAACGCTTTATCTCAGTTAAAAAAAGAAAGAAAGAGAGACAAAAAAATTCAGATGTGCACCAGTCGAGGATCGAACCTTGGAACTCTGGATTATGGGTACCTTGGGATTGCTTAACTGCGACATGGAAACAAAATAAAACAAAAAAATAAAGTTGCTGCATTTTATAACCGTGCTGCAGGCCTTTGGCCTGGACACAGTAATAATGCTTTATCTTAAAACTACCTTGTAGCATCTCTCAATGATAACAGACAATGAAGCATGGTTTACCTCTTCCAAAATTTCTTGCATAGAAAACTAAGATCTCCTACTCCACTGAGAAACATCTTTTGTTATGTTGTGCTTATAATTTTGTTGCTGTTCGAACTTTGTACTTAGACTTGGACAAAAATTTCTAACAAATCAAATGCTTGGAAGGTGCCTTTTTCTTGCCAKAGGGCTACTTTGCTGCATCACATAGAAGTCACATTATAAATGACACCACATTCCATGATTTAATATGATACATTGACMGTCATTGACAGAGTAATTGTACCAATTTTTCTAGCAATATCGGTTAGAGTTAGTTTCTTCCAATTTTCCTATGGCTACCTTAATATAATATCAGGTGGAGTGTATTTGGAGTGGGTTTGATTCACAAATTAAATCAAATCAGGAGAAATTGCATCCAATTTTCCCATGGTCACATGACATTGAAATTAGACACTGTAAGTAAAGGCTTCTTCTTTATAAGGTTTTAAATTTCTCTTGTGTTTTGAAGGACGAAAAAAAAAAACAGAAAAAGACAAAAGAATTTGAGATGATCATATGCTATTAAATAATGAGGATAATCCTAATTATGAAAGCCAAAATGTTATGATTGCATTATTATTAACTTCTCATTTTTTCTTTATATATATTTTTAATTTTTAATTTTATTAATTTATTTTTTTTATCCCCTGTGGCCTGATTTGCCATTTTAAAAGTAGAATATTCATTTTGCAAACTGCTATAAGGTGGTAAACAATAGCATAACTTACTGCTGTAGCTTGATTGTATTACTTTACCCATTGACATTGTTTGACAGGAAAGAAGTGATTGACATAATTCCTTTTTTTGAAACTAAATATGTGGATTTCTCTGTATTTAGACAAACCCTACTTACTCGAATTATGATGATCAAGAGATCTTGAATTAATTATGTTAAATATTTACAAATAAGTAGTTAGATTAATATTAATAAGCTGGCTTTCCATATAGCAGATGGTGGTTGGCCACATTTAACGCAACAATATATAATCATCATCTTCTCTTGCTATGGTTTTGTATTTTTGGGGAATCACTATAAATTAGTACAACTTCATATAGGAAAATGCAGTAAAGATCACAATTGATCTAAAAATACTGAATGTTTATTTGTTTTCAGTTAATTGTTGAAAAAGCAATATCAGAAATATTTTTTAGAAATTAATTTCAACAATAATTTAATTTCAAACATTTTTATTTTCAACATTTTAAAATTTCCATTGAATATCAATTAGATTGCCCAATGGCTGTTGTTATGTATTCATATTCACTGGTGGCAATATTTTGTTATTCCTCATTCTTAACCATGAATTTACAAAGACTCTTAACACCAGTCAGATAATTTATTCAAACATAATTCAGTGCCAAAAATTAGGCAGGAATGTTCTTCTGTATTGAATAGTGAGGTATTAAAATATGTGCTGGGTATATCCACATGGCTGATAACCACACTATGGTTGGTATATTATTATTATTACTTATCCTACAAACCTCCTGTTATTTGTATCCATCACCTGTTCTTATTGTAGCCATATCTTAGCAAATAATATAACACTCACCATGTAACCACTCTCAACAGACATCTCTTTATTCTATTTTAAAAAACAAATAATAATTTGAGTTTCCTATTACCTCTTTTTATTTAATATATAATTTTACTGCAGAAGAAAGCTAATTTTATCATGTACAATGAGTATCAAATAATACAATRCAGGTATATTTTCTATGGTATGTAGTAGTATATGTCTTGGAAAGTATGTGTTTTATTCTTTATAAATGCAAACATATTCTTGATGTAATAACTTTTTCTTAAAATTTGAAGTAGATGTAATGGGTCATTTCAATATGGATAAAAAGTAATTATTTTGTTGAACAAAATCTAGAGATTTYGGGGTTTATTTCCTTAATTTATGGAACTCATTACCAGAAAGGAATTGATTGAACTCCTACCAGGACAAAAGAGACTGCAGCTGTTTGACTGATTTCTTTTTCTTTTGTTTTCTGTTTTTAGTGAATTTSTTTYTCTAAATGCCTGATTATAAAAATCATGTTCAGATTTTTTGTACAACAAATTGTTTTTGTTTTTATTTGGCAAAATTGATTATATTTTTAAAACTATACTGATTGATACTAAAGGTATTTGTAGCTTTTAGATTTATGTTGGACTTTATATTATGCTAAAGAGCAGAAATATAAATTTGGACAAATTAAAAAAAATGTTTGAAGTATTGATTAAAACTTTTAAGTTAAAAATAAAAATAGTTGCTCAGGATTGATTATCCTCTTAATCTAAATAAGGTGGTCATTTTTACTTTATCTGTGTTTATTTAATCATTGAAAATAATAATTTCCAGAGAGAGTTTGGACAATTAGTGAACTTTTCTAGAAAGTGTTTTATTGTGATGGCGTGTTAGTGGGTTATGAATGGTTTGACACTCCTCCCATTCATGAGTCATRTTGCCTAGAGTTCATACTGGCAAGTACAAAATACTGAGAATAATGCAGTTTTATATATTTAAAACATTAGGTCTACTAGTTAATTAACTATGAATTTGACAAAAAATTGTGGAAGGAAGGAAAGGGACATGAATTCAATTTAATTTTCCWAGTCTAAAAACRCCTCAAATAAAAGAACTGARGGATCCCTCAAATTCTGCTTTGTCATGAGTTTGAAAACCAGTTTGAAGCTTGACCTGTCACTTGACATCAAGCTTTGAAACGTTGATGTTAACAATATTTATAATGAAAAAAGTCAACTTTTGTTCAGCCCAAAATTATACCAGTCATGTAGTTCCTATATTCGTTATATTTGATAAGCARAAAGTTGCAAATTTAAAAAAATATATTAATATTAAGAATTCCTTTGATAAATATYCTTCWGTAAYTTTTCTTATCGAGGACATTCAAGACTTTGTTAAATACTTCATATTTTTCTTTTTCATTGACTTCAACATATCTTTACCCTAATGCACTGAGACTTTTTAGCACTAAACAAGTTTTGTTTATTCTCAAGCCTTTTTCATTGCTAATAAACTGTTACAAATTTGTTGTTGCATGTTTCAAATATAGCACGCTCTTAGAGATCGCGTTGGTGAAGCGCGCGCTTAGAATCATAATATTATTACACAAATACAATAACATTTGAATACTTAAAAAACTAAAACTAAATAGAATCATTTGTCNTGAAAACAATGCCATGATGAGACAGATTACTGAGTCGGTGCAAATAACAAAGAATGGAACAATAAACAAGAAGACTTAGTGGAATCAATATAAGAATACTAAAAGACATCATTGACAAATGATTCTATTTAGTTTTAGTTTTTTAAGTATTCGAATGTTATTGTGTTTGTATAATTTGATTCTAAGCGCGCACTTCACCAGCGCGATCTCTAAGAGCRTGCTATATTTGAAACATGTGACAAAGAATTGTAAACAGTTTATTAGCAATTGAAAAGGTTTGATAATAAACAAAACTTGTTTCATGCTAAAATGTCTCTAAGTGCGTTAAGGCTAAAGATATGTTGAAGTCAATGAAAAAKA